GAAATCAGCAAGAATTTGACTCCATCGAAACAATCGACCCGTGAGGTTGCTCTGCGTGAGAAGATACTTGAGACTCTTGTGATCTGTACGAACCAACACCCTGCGTCCGTACAAGTAAAACTTGAAATGCACCAATGCTGAAATCAATCCCAGAAGCTCTTTCTCGCGCACTGAATAATTTACCTCGGCACTGTTGAGACGCTTGCTGAAGAAGGCGACAGGCAACAGATCTTCGCCATGCTGTTGTGTCAAGACAGCACCAATGGCGTAGTCGCTCGCATCGACCAACACGCAAGTAGCTAACGCTGGGTTGAAGTACCTTAAAACAGGGGCTGATATCAAACGCTTCTTCAGCTCCTGAAAGGCCGCTTCTTGCGCATCATCCCAACAAAACTTCACATTCTTACGTAGAAGATTCGTTAGCGGAAGTGCTAACGCTGCGTAATCCGGCACATACTTCCTGTAAAAGTTCAACACTCCCAAAAACGACTTGAGTTCCTTCGCTGTTTGCGGCGCCGAACGATCCACAATCGCTTGTACCTTTTTCTCTTGTGTCGAGACGCCTGCCTCGCTGATGTGGAAACCGAGGAAATCAATTTCAGAGTGAAACAGCTTACATTTCGACTTCTTGACAAACAACTGCTCTTTACGAAATCGATCCAGAGCCTGTCGAAGCAAACGCTCATGTCTCTCCAAGCTCCCATAACTGATCAAGCAAACATCGTCGATATAGCTCAGGCAATTCTCGAGACCTTGAAGAACACTCTCGAGAAATTTCTGAAATTGATTTGCCGAATCTACCAAGCCGAAAGGAATCCTCCGATACTGATATTTCCCAAACTTCGTGATGAAACAGGTGTACTTCCTCGACGCGGCGTCCAACTCAAGTTGCCAAAAACTTTTCGCCAGGTCGAGTGAGCTGATCCACAACCGTGCCCCAGGTTCTGAAGCATAACGCGCTCTCTCTTCCATGATCTTTCGACCCACTCGTTCTATCAGCTCCATCACCAACGGCAATGGAAAGTTATCATTCCGGATCAAGCTGTTAACGAACCTCATATCAGTGCAAAAACGCAATGTACCATCAGACTTTTTGTGAAGATTACGGGAGACGTAAACTCAGACGTCGAAGGTTCAATGATTCCACGCTCCAACAAGAAGGCAAGATTCGCTTTCAACTCCTCCTCCAACGCGAGTGGCACAGGGTAAGGTTTCTTTTGCACCGCCTCAACGTTATCCTTGAGTCGAATCGTCGCCTTGAAGGACCGGTCGAGAACAACGTCGCTGGGAATGTCATCACGAATGACATCCGAATAATCTTCCATGATCGTCTCGGCAGCCTTCTGCTCGAGACTCGTGGCACCATCTGTCGGCTGAGCCATCTCCAACAGGTTGCACAAATGTACCACGTACCATTCCGAATCGTTCTGCTTGAGGTCTCTCACTGCCTCAGTGTAAGAAAGTACCTGACACAGCGAGGCGTCCGCAGCCCCAAATTGCTTGTTTGTCGGGCAAACAAGTAACGGAAGCTCGACCATCTTCTTGCGCCACTTGGCAAAGACTCTGGGGTGACCCGCATCAATCACGATCTTGTTCACACGCATCCATTCCCATGAGAGGATCATGTCCGCATGCGGCAAGTCAAGCATGTAGAACGACCCACTACTCTTGAAACTGGAGCCTACGCCCAATTTTGTCTGGAAAACCATATCAGACAACCTACACGTCCCATCGGCCATGATAACTCGTTTGCGAACTTCTGCATCCGTGACCGACAGACCAAATTTGCGCACTGCCTTCGTGCTGATAAACGACTCTTCAGCAGCTGTATCGAGCAATGCATTAAGAACTATGGATTGATTCCCGAACCGAAAGGTCACCGGTACCATAGGTAGAGCTTTGATCCTGTGAGAGTCAACGGTGATACGACATTGACGAACATCCCTAGGATCTTCTGTCGGAGGTGTGCCCGGGTCGAAGACAACATTCGAAGTCTGCAAACCCGTGCCCCCGTCGATTGCGCCCTCCGCGGCAACCGACGTCACTGGTTTAAAGCTGACGGTTGTTCAGACCTCGACAAGAGAGGGCACTTGTCTCTGAAGTGACCGAACTTCTGACAGTTGTAGCACTTCACCTTCTTCTTGTCGAACTTCTTCTCCTTGCCCTGCATGTCCTCGCTCTGAGTAGGAGCCGACCGCTTGCCCTCATGACGAGGTTGTGCTTGGGTGAAATGAAGACTCGTCTGACCGTCTTGTGGGTGTCTCTGACGCAGATTAAGAGCTTCGCGATACAACTGCGGCAAATACTTGCCCATCTCCGACGGCTCCGCATGATAAGTAATCCCAAACGTCTTACCATCGCGTTCCATCAGCATGCTCAATTCCTTCCGTAGCATAGCACGTGCATAGTCCATTTGAATCCCATCGACAAAGGCGCGTTCCCAGCTACCTAGCGCAACACTAGGTCTCTTGGACACAAGGTAGCACGCCTGCAGGTGTGTAACCATCGCCTGGAATCTTGCGGTGTACGCCTCAACGGACTCCTTGGGCCCTTGCCTAGCCTGCTTCTGCACATGACGCTCAAGTTTCTCAATAAACTCGAATGGTAACCATTTCAACAACAGTTTCTCCACAAACTGTTCCCAATCACCATGCTCAGCAGAGAACTGATCTTGCTCAGTCATCGGGAGTGTGGCCCACCATAGCTGCACCTCCGGCCCGAACGCGGAGATGGCCGCTCCTACCCATCGATGGCGTGCTATACGGTGAAATTTACACCTGCCTTCGATATATCCGAGCCATGAGACCACCGACCTCTCCATGGTCTGCTCACCATTGTACTGCAACAATGACTTCGGATCCAGCTTGCAAATCTGACCACCGTCATTCTCCGCATGCTTAAGCTTGTGAGGCTTGTCCTCGGGTTCCCGAACCCGCTCACAAAGCAGTACACGCATCTCCGCTGCCTCCTTGGCAAGCCTACGGTTCTCTCGCTGGGATTCCTCAAGTGCCCTCACAAGATCCTGGAGTTTGCGATCAGCTTCTCTCTGGGATTCTGCGAGTGCATTTACGAGATTGTGCATCTTATCCATGTTGTTCTGTTCCACCGACCTGAGCTCTCTACATGTCCGGCGTAGGTGCTCGTTTTCCTCCACGATGTCACGAAAACTGGCTTTCAAGGGAAGGGCGGGACCATCTCTTTCGTTTTCATCCCTGCTCTCCAACCATGAAGGCACTGTACGACCACTGTCAACACTGTCGGCACGTACGACAGCCTCCTGCTGAATGACAGTTTCCGACGGATCGTACGCATGTGACTGCGGCGACATGCCTGTCACCGTAGGAAAACGCTGCTCTGCTGACCCATTCAATGTCTCCTTCACAAAGCTGCCCAACCGCGACATGCTTCGACTCATGAAGTCCGAGACGACGCTACCTGACTGAATGCTCGTCCTATCCATGTTTTCTTGAACAACTTCTTTCAACACAACAACTCCGAGAGGAAAACCAGGCCTTCGCGTACCAAAATGTTAGGAAAACTTCCTACAAGTATCTCTCGATCCAGCGTTGACACACGAAGTGATCCCGTCAAGAAACCAAAGAACAAGCGCGCGACAGCAATGCACAATTCAACGGCAATTTACTCCAAATCAACGTTAGAGATAAAGAAAAGTAAGTAATCTAATTTCCTAAGAAACGAGACTGCCTAGGACACCTACTTAAGAAAGACAGGAAGTCAGTAAACATATCCTATCACACCTGTCTGGAAAAGTATGCAGGGATCCCAAGTACCTTCATGGTAATCGTCTGCACCTTGGTGCCCTGATCATCATATGATCTGGCCTCCATCTGCCTTTGTCTGTCAGCTTGGAACTCTGACAGGTACCACTGCTTGACATCGTCACCCCACTGCCTGAGCCCTTTCGGATTCTCCAGTGACGAGGGTTCAGCAAAGCTGCATGTCTGACTGATGGCTTCGGCTAAGGCTTCCAAGGATATTTCTTTTGCTTTCAGAGCTTTGCTCGTCCTGCTTTTGGGGTTCTGCCTTGCGAATTCATCCAGTCTCCGCATCAGTTCGGCTGATGACGGCATCGTTGCAGCTTCCGTCTGCCTCTTGAGGTAGCTGGAGGTACGGTACTGAACGATCTCGTCAGGGTTCACAATAGATATTGGCCACATGTTTCGAAGCATTCTCGATGGTTTCCCGAGCTTCCTGCGTTCCTGGCGACTCTTGCTCTACCACGCAGGGATCCCGCTGATCTGCATGCCTCAGATAAAGGGATCCTGCCTCAGCTTGCGCTCTCCCTACGCGCCGCAGGGCAGCATGCTCTTACTAAGGGCCGGCTCCTAAACTAAGGGCCGGCTCCTAAACCCTAAAACCTAAACCCTAAAACCTAAACCCTAAACCCTAAACCCTAAACTCTAGTAGTAGTAGTAGTAGTTGAGTTTATTAGAATGCTAGGTAGGTTGCATGGCTTGTTATCGCCTTGCTCTATTCTAGTCTAACAGGGATCTCGTGACCTGGCAGTTCGGCCCGACTTGGCTGGCCCCTATGGCAGCCGTGCTTCTGCTCTGCTCCCTCCTCTGATATACTTCAGTGGTCTTCCCCGGCCTCAGCCAGTGGAGTTTCCTCCGCCGGCCTTGGCCTGGGTCGTCCGTGCTGTCCACTTGTATTGCTTCCTCGGCCCCGACACACGTTGGCGGTCTCGGCCGGCCTTCGGCCAGTGAGTGGATGATGGGTGAGGTGGTAGGTGGAATGCGTATGGGTCCCTGGGACTCACGTCCCTTCACCCGGGCCTCGGTCCGGACCGGGCCCGAGAGCCCGGCCGGCCTCCGCCCGGCCTCCTCCTCCCGGCCCCCCTCCCCCCTCTCCCACTGGCTTACCTGCCCTTACCTTCGTTGCTTGCCCCATGTCCACCTCATTTATTTCTTCCTCCTTCCCCCCATGGGGCCCACAGCTCCGCTCCGCCTCTTGTCCACCTCTAAGACTTGACTCGAGCCTCAAGCGCGCGAGGGGCCTGCACCGGCCTCCTCCTCCATGCCCTCGCCCTCCTCAGCCTCCATGTCGACTTCCTCCCTCATCATCAGCCGCAGTCGGTCTTGCTTGTCGACCTTGCCCGTGCATTTCAGGCCTTGGTGCTCAGCAAATTTACTGATCGCAAGAAACAAGAGGCTGACAGATCGACTCTCGATGTCATCGCTCTCAGCCTCCTGCTCGAGCGCATCAGTCGCTGCTGCCCTTGGAGAGAAGGCGCTGCCCCTCCTCGCTGCCTTGTTCCCTTGCACCCGTGTCCAGCGCTGCTCGCCGAGGTACGCTCTGAGCTTTTCTTTCAACATGTTTCGCTTCGATCCCAGCGTCGGCGTGGCTGCCCAAGCTCCGAGCGTCATGAACTCCACGTTGCCCGGCGAGCAGAAGGTGTCATGCAGCTTGCCAACACTCTTGTCTAGCTCCAAAGAGATCGGCTTGCCAGCTAGCAGCTCCTCCTCTGATGTCTCCAAGAGCATCGTCGAGAGGTCGAGCAAGACCTGTTGATCGACTGGCCCTGACGGCGACGCTGCTTCCATGGTGATCCTGTCGATGTCGCTGAGCTCCAGCCATCCAGCGCCTTGCTGCTGCCCGGCTTGGGACTCTTGGGCTTGCTCCTCGCTGCTCGGGCTCCTCTCCTCCTCATGCTGAGGCCCGTTGAGCTTGAACCCCACCGCTTCGAGCTTGACTTCCAGGACCCCTTCCAAGTAGAAGGGCATGTCTTCCATCAAGCGTCGAGCCTCTGCCTTGGTCGCCAGGGAGAGAGCTATCAGGCTCCCATCCCAGCTGAGCGTGTCACGATCCTCCTCGACCTCGACGCTGACCGGCGTCACGCCTATCCTTCTTGCTAACTCCAACATGGCTCGCTTGACTCTCGTGATCGATGTGTTACCTCCTCCGCACAGCGCTTCCATCTCCTTCCTCGAGAAGCGGCCTGTGCTCATGCTTGACCTCGACTTGATCTGTACTCTGAAGCTGCTGCGCCCCGCATGATCTCTCTCGCGAAGTGCCCTCCTTTGCTTAGCGATCTTTCCCCTAGGAACGAAGGTGTCGGCTGTGAGCTCGACTGCAAACGTCTCTCTGAGCTTGGCGTCGTCGCTGATGAGAGTCAGGTGCACCCCCTCCATCGCCTCGCTCTCTCTGAACGAGGCCAAGGTCTGCTCGCAACTTGCCGTCGAAGGCGAGCTCAGCACCCACTCCAGCTCTCTCTGCTGCAGAGCTCCGGTGCTTGCCCCAACAGCAACATACGTCTTCGGGCTCGGCCCCTTGCGACCTCTCTGCCCAGGACCCTGCACGAGCATGCCAGCAAGCGGTTGTACCTCTGCGGCTGCAAGGGATTGCGAGAGCAGCTGAAATCGATAGATCTGAGCGATCTCGGCCGTCGACATTCCTCCAAGAGCTAAGAGCTGTGATAGCTCGGCAAGGCTCCCTCCCTTGCCCCAAGGTCCTCGCTTGGCTCGAAGCTTGAACGACCGGTCATGTGCATGGCTCGAAACGATCTGCCATCTATGCTGTATTCTCTCCTGCCTTCCCATAGCTCCATGGCTGCTTCATTCCGAAGGAAGGAGACGGTGACTGAGATGTCGTCTGCTCGTGCTATCTCAGGTCTGTAAGGTGCTTTCCACATGATGGCCTTGTCGACTCCATCGACTGAGTCTACCATGAGACCTAGCTCCATAAGCTTCGTTTTCAACTTTTCTTCTTGTCGAACAAACATCGAGGAAATCCCTAGGAGAGTCATGGAGATGAAGGAGGTCCCCTCGGTGCCTTCGGTGTCGGATGTATGTCTCGACATTCTGCTTCTTGGCCTCCTCCATCTGTTGAATAAACCATGCTTTCGACTCTGAGCTCCATTCGCTCAGAGAGTCTTCAAACAGGTCGCGTCTCGCCTGCCGACATGTCGAGCGGATGGCTTCAGCGATAGCGTCGGGAGTGCATCCCCCCTCAGCTCTGCAAGCATAAGCTGTCCGACTATTCGGATAACGCTTCATGAAGCTCTTCACCTTCTCGACGAGGTCGGTGGCTTCCTCGACGTGGCCTCCAGAGCGCTCACCCTGCGTGTATTGGCATGATCTCCGATACAGCAGGTTGCGAACGCTCTCATCATACTGTAGTACCATGCTTAGAAAGCTGTTTGAACTATACGAACCTCTTGCTCGCAGCTTCCACCGGTCCCCTTGCGCTCTCCCTACGCGCCGCAGGGCAGCATGCTCTTACTAAGGGCCGGCTGCTCTTACTAAGGGCCGGCTGCTCTTACTAAGGGCCGGCTGCTCTTACTAAGGGCCGGCTGCTCTTACTAAGGGCCGGCTGCTCTTACTAAGGGCCGGCTGCTCTTACTAAGGGCCGGCTGCTCTTACTAAGGGCCGGCTGCTCTTACTAAGGGCCGGCTGCTCTTACTAAGGGCCGGCTGCTCTTACTAAGGGCCGGCTGCTCTTACTAAGGGCCGGCTGCTCTTACTAAGGGCCGGCTGCTCTTACTAAGGGCCGGCTGCTCTTACTAAGGGCCGGCTGCTCTTACTAAGGGCCGGCTGCTCTTACTAAGGGCCGGCTGCTCTTACTAAGGGCCGGCTGCTCTTACTAAGGGCCGGCTGCTCTTACTAAGGGCCGGCTCCTAAACCCTAAACCCTAAACCCTAAACCCTAAACCCCATGCTGCAAACTTCGCACGGCTTGCCCTGCGGCGAATCTGCAGTCTTGAACTTGCCAGGAACGCAGGCAACGCAGACGCCTAGCGATTGATTGTAGTAGCCGGGATCGCAGGAGCAGGACGAAATCTGCGTAGAACCGTTGGTGTTGCTGTGTGAATGGTTCGGACAGGGCAGACAGGCGCCTATCACGGCTATGTCAGGGTTGTACGTGCTGGCAGGGCAATTCTGGCACGACTTCAACGCAATGTCGTAGTAGGTGCCGGAAGGGCAAGGCAGGCAGTATCCAAGCACGTCGGAATAGCTGCGGTAGTAGCCAGGAACGCAGCTGCATTCGTAGCTCCCGGCAGCGCTCTTAGCGTAGGTAAAGCAGGGCTTGCAAGTGGTAGACGCTACAGCGCCGATCTGTGCGGAAAACGTGTCGGAAGGACAGGGCGTACAGGCGTTGTCGGATATTTGATCCTTGTAGTAGCCTTTAGATCAGGGAATGCAGGTCTTGGATCCGCCGGCAATCAAAGGCTCGTAACCAACCTGGCAAAGGCAGCTGGAAATCAGACTGGATCCGTTCGCCAGTGTTGTCGTTAGCGCCGGACATGGCAGGCAATCATCAATCGTCACCGAAGCGGCAGTTTGCATGTAGAATCCGATAGCGCAGGCAACGCAAGGGCCTTTCCCTTGGTAGTTCTTGTAGTATCCGGATTGGCAGGCCGCGCAGGCAACGCCGTCGCTGTTAGCAGTGTATCCTTCCTTGCATCTGCAGGCCAGAACGTTCACCGAAGAGCTCGGCGCTACCGAATTGGAAGGGCAGGGTAAACAGCTGGCAACGCTGGCAGATAGCGTAGTGATAGAGTAGGTGTCAGCAGGACAATCCTTGCAGGCTTCCGTCCCGTTTCCGTATCGTCCAAGTCCGCAGCTCACGCAATCAACGCCTATCTTCTGGAAGCCGGAATCGCACTTGCAGTCTTCCAGCTTGGAAGCACCTGGGATGGAAGTGGAATGCAGCGGGCAGCTGGTGCATTGAAGGACGCTGGTAGCGCCTATCGCGGAGCTGTAAGTGTTTTCAGGGCAGAGCGTGCAGATGAAGGAAGCGGCGAAATTCTTGTACGGTCCGGCAGCGCACGGGACGCATCCGTTGGAACCATTAAAGTTGGTGTAGCCAGCTACGCACTGGCAGTCTTCAATCCTGGAAGAGCCGGCAGCGGAAGTGGTGAAGGCGGGACAGGGCTTGCAGGCCGTGTCTAACGCATAGGCTTCCGAATAGTAGTTTTCGGGACAGGAAACGCAGGCATAATCACCAAGGTTAATCTTGTTCGTTCCAGGCTCGCAGGGGACACAGGACGTGTTGCTGTCTGATTTGGTGAAAATGGAAGTGATGCTGCAATCTGCATCAATGTAATTCCTTGGAATGATAGAAGATGCGGCCGTGAACAAAACAAGCAAGACCACCATAATCTCGTTTCAGTGTAACCAGCTGGACATGGACAATATACCGCGCTATAAGGCCGTAAACAATCAACCAAATTCAAGTAGACGATGTAATCAGTGGGACAATCTTCGTAACAACGACTTCCAATAAGCGTCAGGCCGCTGGGGCAGGTGCAGATTGTCTTCTGTTGGATTGTAGTCTGAATCAGCTTGTAGCCGGGAAGGCAGAGACAGGAACCGAAGCTAGCAGAGCCGCGGCTGGATGTGGAATTGGCAGGGCAAAGCCGGCATGAAGTGGATTGCGTTACATCGGAATAAGTCCCTACAGCACAACTTTCGCAGACGCTGGAAGAAGAAGCGCCGACAACCTTCGAAAAAGTGCCAAGCGGGCATGGAAGGCAGCGTGAAGAGCTGATCGCAGCAGTCTCCGGTTGGTAGGTTCCGGCAGGGCAAAGCGTACAATCACCGCTGCCTGTGCTGTTCTTGTAAGATCCAGCGGCACAAGGCAGGCAGTCGGCGCCGAAATAGCCCTGCTTGCAGATACACAGTGAAGCATCCGTGCTTCCATCCCCAATGGCGAACTTACCGGTGCCGCAGACGGTGCATTCGCCGTTTCCGATCGCTGGCTTGAACGTGCCTGGAAAGCAGGGCTGGCAGCTGCCGTCGACCAGCAAGAAGTATCCCGCCAGACAGACGCATTCTGAAGCTGACTTGGAGCTGTAGATCGCTGTAGTCTTCGAAGCAGGGCACGAAGCGCAGAAGGTAAGACCAGCAGAAGGATTGTAAGAACCGAGCTGGCATTGGCTGCATGAAACATAGCCCGTTCCTTCATATCCGACGCTGCAGAGACAGATTTTAAGAAGTGTTACTATCCAAATAATTTGTACTATCTATCCAATTGTCCTATATCCATGATTTCCGGCGCGTTTCTGTCTAATACCCCCTCTTCGCTTCCTCCATCTGTTGCATAAACCATGCTCTCGACTCTGAGCTCCATTCGCTCAGAGAGTCTTCAACCAGGTCGCGTCTCGCCTGCCGACATGTCGAGCGGATGGCTTCTGCGATAGCGTCGGGAGTGCATCCCCCCTCAGCTCTGCAAGCCTGAGTGTCCTCAGTGACTACCAGGATACTTGAACGCTTCATGAAGCTCTTCAATCTCTCGACGAGGTCGGCGGCCTCCTCGACGTGGCCTCCAGAGCGCTCATCATACTGTAGTACCATAGTTAGAAAGCTGTTTGAACTATACCAAGCACTTGCTCGCAGCTTCCTCCGGTCCCGGGCCCTTGCGCTCTCCCTATGCGCCGCAGATGTGCATGCCTCTGCTAACGGGCCGGTCCCATGGCTCTGCTAAAGGGCCGGTCCCTAAACCCTAAACCCTAAAGTGCTAACCCTGCTTCTGAGGTCTCTTTCTTCTTTCTACTTCCAGTCTTCTCTTGGTTTCCTCAGCCTCAGTCAGGCCTCTCCTCCCCTCGGCCTTCAGGCGCCACCTACTCCTCCTCCAATCAGCTTCCTCAGCCTCAGTCAGAAGAGTTGCCTCTCCTCACCTTCGCCTTCGATTGCCTCCTACATCCTCTCCTTACCTTGCTTACCGGGCCTTGCTAACCCGTCGGTCGCTCTTCGAGTCCCCCTCTTGTCCACCTCTTCTTCGCCTTCATGTCTTGCTTCAAAGCTCCGCTCAGCTCAAGCTCGGTACGGGCTCGCCCCGTCTCCTTCCTCGCCCTCGCCTTGCTCTTCCTCCATGTCCTCCTCTTCTTCATCATCTTCCCTCATCTCCACCCGCAGTCGGTCCTTCTTGTCCACCTTCAGCGGGCAGGCCAGCACATGCATCTCTGCGAATTTCACGTGACTCAGTGCTATAAACAGGAAGCTAACAGATCCCTAAACCCTAAATCGTGTACGCGATCTTCTTGTTCATCGTAGTGAACGAGCAAGTCACAACCAGGCGATTGGTAAAGGTGGAATTCGCCGTAAGGAGGCTGCAAGGCATAACATGCGCCTACAACAACACCTGATGCGCACGGGTGCGTCCGATTAATCGTGCTCACTTGTTGTGTTCGGATTTACAAACACACCTTCCTTCAGTCGTGATACTACACTTGCAGTATCCGGACGAAGAAGAAGCCGCAATCATCATGGCAACTCATCAGTTACCAGATCAATCGATCATCCAATGCACAACACGGTCAAGTTTACTAATCTTGCGCTGCACTCACCTCCTCGTTCATACCCACAGCCAAACTCGCTCCTCCACTCCAATGAAGAACTGAACAAGCAGCGTTGTTGTTTTATTTGGCAAATAATACATAAGACCATGGGCCGAAGCTGATGGCGTGTATTATTTGGCAAATAATACATAAGACCATGGGCCGAAGCTGATGCAGAGCACAGGATGAGGAGGAGAGGCTGCCAGGACAGAGTGAATCTTGAAGAAGATCGAGCTCAACAAGACATCGCTAACTCGGAACAGGGGGTGAGGGGGGAGAGCGCCTCGACAGGAGGAGCAGCGAAGGGTTGCAACCCTCCCAGCGAGCTTCCATGGCAAGCACCATGAAATCTGTCTCGAGACCTGTCGCTGAATGCACAGATGGCCATTGGTGTTGTTGTTGTTGCTGAATGCAAAGATGGCCATTGTTGTTGTACGTTTGGATCAACCACAGCGGCACCGATTAGTGTGTCCAACATGAACTACATTTTCGTTTGATTATCATGTTTGCTGTAATAGGCGAATTATTCACAGCAAAGAAGCTGATTGTAACAGGTAAAGATGGTATTTATATAGCTGATATTGAACTGCAAACTAGGATAAACGTAGAGCTACTATATGTGACTCTATTGCATCAAGTTACAACGTCGCAGGCTGCTTCTTGTCTTTGCGAAGCTGCTCCTCTTTCTTGCGAAGCTGCTCCTCTTTCTTGCGAAGCTGCTCCTTGTCTTTGCGGAGCTGCTTCTTGTCTTTACGTTCTGCATGCCTCCTCGGATCCTGTTGCCCTACACACTTGATCTCTTTCTCTACAACCTGAATATCGTTCTCTACACTCTTGATCTCTTTCTCTACACTCTTGATCTTTTTCTCTACAACCTCGATCTCTTTCTCTACCCCCTCGATCTCCTTCTCTAACCCCTCGATCACTTTCTCTACCTCCTTTTTGGAGCTCTCATCTCCTCCGCGCAGAGTGAGACATTCTCGGACATTACCAATATTCCGTAGGTCACTCTCAGGGGCGTCTAGCAAAGTTTGTGCAGACCTTGTTTGGAATCCTCCGCTCAAACATGTCAAAGGTGTCAAAGATCTAGCAACCTCGAAGGCCCTACGAAAGCTTCCGTCCATCTCCCTCCCATCAGCGAACTGCATGCTTGCCGGTCTCTTGAAGCATGCGAAGAGGACAAGCAAACCACGCATGGCAGGTACCGGCACAGCGGAGGCAGGCGCCATCTCATCGGTCTTTACTCAAAGTGCTTTCCGCCAAAGTGAATTAAAATAAACTGCCTACAGGGGGACGGCGAGAAGAGAAAAGACAGCGAGAACCAAACCCAATCCTGCCGACTGCTGTCCCCCAAACTTAACTGATACCTTCGCTTAACTGCGCGCAGGACAAGTCCCCCGCGCGGCCATGCCAGCGATGTCGCGGTGGCCGCCGCCGAAGGAATGAGACACATACCGGGATGCACCCGCGATGATGGCAGCGAAGGACAGGGAGGCCTTGAGCTGACGAAAGATCCTGGACCGGATGCGTTTGCAAGTCGGATCACCTGAGACGTCTTGCGAGGCCGAGAGACCATCCAGCGCTGCCGTTTCCTTGTTCGCCGAGCGATCCGCCAGCCACCACAGAAAGCGCAACGCATCGTCCTGCAAGAGGCCATCAGTGCTGGCGATGATGGGAAGAAAGGCCTTTGGCGGGACTGCATTACGATGCCCTCGGATCTTCCGCTGTGCTGCCGCTTGCAGTTTGCTCCGAGCCAGGTCCGGTATTCCATCATTGTCAAAAACATGTGACATGCTGAAGTCCAGGATTAACCCATGCCATCCGCCTCCAGTAGCCATCAGTTGTGGAAGTTCGAAGTCCCCTACATGATGATCTTCAGGGCCGTGTTGGGAAACGTTCTGCCCTAGTAGTGCCGGGTACGCCTTGCCATGTGGACACGGCATCTCACTCCGGAATCTTTGATGAGGGTACTGAGGACGGCATTGCAGGGCTGCGGTGCCTGCAGGTTGCCATGTGTGTGGTCCCCCCAGGATGACGGAGAAGATGTCAGCGGCAGCCACCAAGCTGATGGGCCGGGCTGCTGCTCAAAGATCCCAAGGTTTGTACTTTCCATAATCGAGTGCCAAATCGTGCGCTGAGGGGTAAACTGACACAGAAGTTCATCAACCGGGTGGCCTGGTACCGTCTCGAAGGGGAGTAGAGAAGCTGGAGTGGTGTGCCAACAAAGATCTCTGGCGCTCAGAAAGGTGAGCCCGAATACTGCGGAACCGAGGAAACTCCGCTTTAACTTAACTTTGAGTAAAGTAGTAGTGCTTGCGGCGTCAGCCGCTCCTGACCCGACTCCCGGCCCGCCGCCGGCTTAGACTCTGATAGACTCTATTGGCCTTGCAAGACGGGTGGTTTTCAGAATCATGTACCCCGTGTTGGGGTAGGGTATCCTGAGTTCCAGAAATAGCGCAAGGGCCGCGCAATGTTCGGACTCCTGCAGCAGGTACGATGAAGGGAGAGAGAAACGCAACCGATGACGAGCGCGTAATGTCAAGTTTAACCCATCAAATACATGATAGTTCACGACGCGTAGAGAGCATTGATTTGTTGTCATCACTTGGATTCGTGATGATCACGCAAGTAGTTGTAAGTGATGGTGTTTGCACCAGTAAAATGCGATGTTTGTCCTGTGGCGGTTAGGATTGTTGAGAGAAGGGCATGACGATCACAGAGAATTGATGCTAAGATGTTCTTGATGTAATTTTGCGGTGTTCTTTATGTCTTGGAATGTGTGAAGTTAGGAGATAGATTCGAGACATGGTTTGAGGCCTTAGACCATTGTACTCGAGAGAAATTAGAAAGTTGTTTGAGTCAATACGATTCTCAGAGATGATAGGCTAATTGTTGATGTTTTTTTTATGCTCCATATGATCGAAGAAATGAGACTCTTCTCATGCAAAGCATTTGTATGTAGCAACATACTTGTTTTTATGCCAGAACGAAATGACCATCAAGCATCGAAGGGCTGATTTATAGTGTTTTCTAATGCCGTTACCGAGATCTTTGATGTTCTATATCACGCTCATGAAATTGTTACTTGCATTCACTTACACTAGCAAATCTGATGATGTTGTAAACATAGCTTTTTAGTATAGTACCTGTCATGATAACAAGCGTGTCTTGGTCGATTTGAATACGATTCTGAAGTTGCTTGTTACGACATTCTAATCTCAACTTCTTTTGATGTTTCCAAATGTTAACTTTGAATAGACCGCAGCGGCCTCCGAGTACGGTGGACCTACACCCACGGCCCACGTTGATGCAGATCAGTATCTTGGATTCGTAGGCATCCCGAAGCCCCCTGTGAGATCTTATGCTGCCTGAAAGATCATTCGCCGATCCTTGACTTGTTCCGCAGCCTGGATACCTCCCACCTCTTGGCGCCAGCGCATACACCTGGCCGAACATCTTCAAGAACATGAAGCGCATGGACTACTGCGTAGACAAGTTTGACTTCTTGGGCAACAGGGTTGCTTGTATCAATAAGTTCACTGGACCCCTGCTGAGCTAAGAGTATTTGATCAAGCATAGACAATGAATCTTGCGGATGATGTTGGAGTACTCATGTAGGCGTTTCTTTTTGGAATTGGTTCGGGCAGAAGTTAAATACATCCAACTTGTGACATCTATGCACGACAGATCGTCGTCAGCAACACTTTACACCCATACTTGATTCTCAACTTCTCCATCAATCATGTACACTAGTGATTTCAAAGTGATGCAAAAATTTGCGAAATCCATCTTTTCAGCGAAGCTATATGTAGTATCCAAACAAAGTGCAAGGGACGGGCTTTTATCCCTCTTGTCCATACCTGTGATACAGTGTCAGGTGTTTTGGGAGCTTGCATCTTTGTACGCACTCTTTTGTGAATTTCTCAAATTCCTGAAGATCATTCAGACTGACAGAAGGTTTGCAGCGCGCAAGTGTTTTCTCAAAATCTCTGTAGGAAACTGGAGGAGCAACCAACTTGTCTGCAAGGTTGCTACATAACAAACATCAGACCTCTTCATTCCCAGCACAGTTTCGACGTACTTCTTTGCAAGATCCATGATTGTCATCTCTTCTCCGTCTGGGTCACTCGGGCTACGAAAGATTAGATCAATCATTACACAACCGAAACGAACCTGCACGGCATCAACTTCTCCTCTTCAACGCCCTCGGGATTCTTGACCATGACTCGCTTGAAAGCCTGTGCGTCTTGGCATCGCCTCACCGGCTCCATAACAGCGTCTCGTATCAACACGGCAATATCACTCCCAGAAAAGCCATCCGTTCTGCTGACAAGAGTCTGCAGGAATGATGTCAAAGGATTGATCAATCCGATGAATCAAGGCAGGCTATTCAAATTACATAGAATACCTGCAATTGCTCATGCTCAAGACCGGGCTTAGGGTCCATCTTGGACAAGTGAATATCAAGAAGCCTCCTCCTGCAATTGCTTTAGGTGGAAGAGGGGATGACACCAACTTTGTTGCAGAACCTTGCTCGTTCATCAGGTAGAGGAATGTAAATTCTTCGTTGGCACCTTCGACGCACAGCACTATCGATTGCCCATGGCAAGTTTGTGGCGCACAACACCTTGTGGTCGACAATGAATGATAACAATCAATTTGGTTAATGACACACCAGCAATCCTTCTAGAGAATTCCCAAGCCCGTCCATTTGAACAAGCAATTCAGTTTTTATCCGTCTTCCCGATTCACTGTCGCTATCGTTTCTACTCTGAGAATTGCAGAGTTATACATAATGCTGAACTGATATCAAGGATACTTACTGTGGCAATCGAATCAATCTCATCGATAAAAATTATGGATGGTTTTTGTTCACGAGCTGTTTCGAACAACATTTTTACCAATTTTTCACTTTCACCCAACCACTTTGATGTCAAGTCTGTATCAACCATCATCATTATATGCGCTTGACAGACATTCAAAGGATACCAGCAGAAGAAACTGATAAAAAGGTTGCTGAGGCTTCCGTTGCAACCTAAAACAAGCACTGTAAGATCAACCCAGCATGAACAAGTATATTCTCAAGGATATCACCGCCTTAGCTAGAAATGATTTCCCCGTCCCAGGAGGACCATAGAGCATGATACCACTCCATGGCTTTCTTCCAGAACCCTGAAAGAGCTGCGGAAAATTGATAGGCAAGATGACCTAAACTATGAGTGTTCACTACACGATTGCGAGGCGCACAATAAACAAAACCGCTTCTTTGAGAGCTTCTTTTGCTTGTTCAAGGCCTGCAATGTCTTCCCAACGAACGTTTGGTTTTTCTTGGACGATGGCACTTTGTATCGCATCTCTACAGGAAAAATCAGGAGTTATGTGATTACAATTTGTGATAGCTGTCAACCTCATTCGACCTTTCTCTTTCTCGCTGTCCCCTCCAGCCGGCACTGCTGCTTTCTTGGCTTTCTGTCATCGGGTGAGAAGCAGGTATCTTTCACAAGCATACTAGAACACACACCGGAGGATCCTTCAAAATCTCTTGAATCTTTTCTGCACGCTCCATATATCTTTCGACACAATATTACATTTGTGTGAACCATCCAAGGAGAACAAGTTAAACACATACTCTTTTGCAAACTTTCGAAGTTGTGCAGTAATGTTGGGGTTCTGGACTTATACATAAGAAAAAAAAGTGCCATAAGAGAATTACCTTTTCCCATTTCATAGCTGTCATGAAGGTATCTAAGCATGTTCGATATGCATGAAGCGCTTCGTCGTATTTTTCTCGCTGATGAATTCATTTGTTACTGACTGATTTCCTTCCGCTTCTCTATCCATCTCTGACCTGTTTTTCCCAGTCTGCTGGATCCTTCAGAGCTGTTGCTTCTTTATCCAGCTCAGTTGCAATGCGAGCCTTTTCAATCGCTTTGGCTTTGAAGTCAACTGTTGCCATACCTGTATAATGAGTTACAATAATAGTTCAGTTTATGTATTGAGCGTCGTAGTCAAACATATGTTCAAAACATGAGAGACACTTCAGCTAAAATTGCAGGCTTTCCCGAAGCTCTTTAGCGATTTCCTGGTTCGATTCTTCATGGCTCAGCAATCATTTTTCCACCTCCACTACGCTCTGATCAAGTTTCTCCACCTATATTTTTGATTCCTTGCCACACATGACTTTCTTTAACATCTTAGTTTCGTCATCATGGGCTACTTTGTTCGAACATTATGCTGTATTTCTCCTCTTTCTCCCTGGCTTGCCTAGCATGCTACAACGCAGTCAAAGGCGATCAAGGGCAAGCATACACAGTGCTAGTAGAGTCTTTTCTTTTCCTCCCCTACTGCTCGCTACACCTGGTACTACACAAACAATTGTATTTTAAATTAAAAATTATTGCTATCATATTATTACATAAAGTTTTAAGATTAGTCAATACAACAAAACCTAAAGTACCGAGGTAGGGGAAGAACATATTTAAAAACAATTTAATAGAATCTTAGACCGATAAAAAATTATTAACTTTAAAATCATTACGACAAAATAGATAAAACGTTTTTGATGTGTTATTTAGGACATCCTATTTTTTCCTATGCACCCATCTATGACCCACTAGGTCCTTCCTCGTCGGCGAGGAGGCCTCTGCCATCCGTTGACCCTCCGTGAGTTCGCTCAATTTCATTAAAATGAAACCTTGATATGTATATTTGAAATATCTTTATTGCTATTTGAAAACGTCTAGGATTTGTGATCGAGAGGGTTAACGCGACGGGAAACCATGATGCGCGTCGGCGGCGCAATGGCAGCTTTCAGGTACCCCAGAGCGAACTTTTAAGCGCAATGCCTGGAATGCTGGAATGCTAGAAGAAGGAGTAGTCCTGAGACATGCTTGACTGAATCCTCTGGCTTCCTATGCCCCCTCGAGCTAGTTTTCTTCTGTCAAGTGCATCCATGCATTCATGACTCTTTCTTTGGGGCGTTACCGTAGGAATCACATATCTTAGTTATCCAGATAATTTGCTCTGCCATTTTGTATTCAATGGTAGACACGAGGTATTTGAGATAGAAATGTCCCGCTTGCATTTTGTTTGCATGTCTTTTTTTTGAATTCTTGTGACTGATTTCGATTCAGGAGTGCTGCGAGCGTATCGATTTCAAAATCAGCGGCATGGAAGCCTTTGTCAACAATCAGCAGAAGGCAGATGTCAGTTTCAGCGAAGGCTTTGACATATTCTTCGCGTGTGAAACCGGGAGACGAACTTATCATGAATGTGGACGAAAGCACCCTGGCAAAACCATCAGGCTCTCAATCTCTAGTCAGATTTCTAGCATCATCAATTTCCCCGACCGATTACGTGGTGATGCATGCCCAGGATGATTCTTCAGTGCCTTCTCCCCCGACAATGTCCAAAAAGAGGTTTGTTCAGGCTCATGATATCAAGCCAGTTCACGCCATTCATCACGTTTTCGACAAGTTGCCTTCGCTGCCGGCTGTTGGGGGTGTTGAAGGGGTGGCAGTCGTGGAGGAGTCTGGTCCTAATTCCAAGCTCAAAGTGGGTGATTGGGTGATCCCTCTTCCCGGAGTTGGTACATGGAGGACTCATGCACTACTTGATGAATCACAAGTGATTCCCGTACGCAATGACATTCAACCTGAATATGCTGCAGTGTTGGGTCTTGGACCAGCTACAGCATACAGATTGTTTCATGATTTTGTCAATCTGAAGGAGGGAGACTGGATTGTTTTGAACTACAGTGACTCTCTCGTTGGGCAAACCGTGGTTCAACTTGCAGCAAAGAAGGGAGTGAAAGTGATTGCAATGCTTACACCATACCAGTACATTCAAGTGTTCTCGGCGCATCTGAAAGCGCTGGGAGTGGACATCGTGGTCAATGAGAATGTTGTGAATACATGGAGCATGCGGGAAATGCTTTCGGAATTGCCTCCTGTTAAGCTCGGACTCGATTGCCTTGGGGGTGATTCTGGTCGAAAGGTTGCCAGAGTAGTTGGAAAGAATGGAACTTTCGTCTCATATGGAAATGTCGATGCTTCTGGGTATTATGCATCCTACAAACCCTTCATGATCCCAAAAGACAAGAACTTGAACATCCAGGTGCCCTCCTGATATTCTTTTTGCAAAAATGTTTTGTGTTTGATTGACATCTATGCAGCAATTTCTTCTCAGCAGTTGGTTAGCGAAGGCATCACAAGATGAAAAAAAGAAGATGATAGACGATCTTGCCACAATGGTAGATATATGTTTGCTTGCTTCGTTTCTATACCTGGCCCTCAAAGCCGTTGGTCAGGTCAAAGACACCAAGCTTCATCTTTTGATGGAGCGCAAACCCTTTGAAAGCCATCGACTGGTGAGTTTCCAAGATTTGGTTCTTTTTCTTGCAAGATTTGCAGCCTGAACAAATCTTAGGCATTGAGGCTCGGATGGGAGATGATGCGAGACCGTCGCCTTGTGATGACCATGAACTAAAACGAAGCGCGAATTCAATCTTCACCAGGAACTAGCATTATCTGTAAATGATATTTCAAGCACACTTATGCTGTTTGATGAACTGTGCCACTCAATTGCATTTGAGTAGAATATTGATTTAAACTCTACTCGAATCTGCTTTCCCTTTTCGTTTGTGCTTCGGTTGGAATCACATCACGTCATATCACATCACATCACTTCGAATAGAAATGTGCAGGCGCATACTTCACAACCTCAGCAGCCTCTGCCAAGGACCTGGTGATAATGTCAAAGAAACAACAGAGTGATTCACAGAAATGACTTCGCAAAGCTCCTTCCGATCCTTCCTCATCTTTTTGATTTCCTTCCCTTGTTGCTGTCGTGAAGAAAAAAAAGAGATAAAAAAGTTTAAGTTGGTTACAGCGCATCGAAGTTCTGCACCTGAGCCTTGCGAATATCAGCTTGCCATCTCGGGACATTTCCTGATTTCTGAAGCAGAGTATGAGAGAAACATGTCTCCCTTTGCAGGCATGCTTACATCCTTCTTTCTGATCTCCTCAAGCTGCTTCTTGACATCCTCTGGAGTTTGTGCAGCTGGAGCGCTTTGAATAGGCACTGGTTCTGCTGCAAGAACAGATGAACTTCCAAGAGCTGTGACAAGGCCTGCGAAAGTAATGATATCATTCAAAACAATGTATCACTTGGATTCTGAAGTTTACCTGACGCTAAGGTTGTCATAGCTGCTCTCCGAGACATGTCCCTGCATGCAGAGACCTCCACACTTGATTTTTCAAGAGACATAGACGGGAAGGTGGAGGGGAGAGAGAAAGACATTGCCACTGGCAAGCAGCAAACGAAGGCCGCGATCGTCATTCGAACAAAAGCCATTTTGATGGTTTATATGACTTCGCTCCGAGGCTCTGTTGGCCACCTGCAAGCATGAAACGGTTCTGTAACCGTTTCTCAAGGTCATTCAAGAAATTTACTATGTTACTTTTACGTTGTATCCGGTTGTGCCCCCGCACCTCTACCAGTTAACTGAAGTTTTTGAGAGGACGTTATTAGTTAGGGGCTGGCCCGTTGGCTGCTCTCTATGCGACTCAATCGAATGGCAAGGGAGCGCGGGATGCTAATGAGCCTGGTGGCAATTAGCGTCATGGCTCGCTCCTCGTCCTCCTTTAGCTCTGCTTTTTCTGCGTCACCCTGGTGTAGTCAGACTCTGAGAAGCGTGGCCAGAGAGAGGGGGGGCGGTGAAGCCGGGGATGGAAGGATCGAAATGATCCTAGGCCCCATGTTTGCTGGGAAGAGCACAGAACTAATGCGAAGAATGCGTAGACACAAACTCGCGAATCTTCAATGCATCATCATCAAATACGAAAAAGATCTCCGTCACGGTGAGGGGTTAGATAAGCTTGCCACACATGATAATCATAGGGTTGCTGCTGTGCCTTGCTCGCGATTGTACGATCTTTTCAAAGAAGCTTCGAGCATGGACGTGATAGGAATCGACGAAGCTCAGTTCTATCCGGATCTTGTTGCCTTTTGCGAAGAACTTGCTGAGATGGGAAAGATTATCATTCTCTCAGCACTTGATGGCGATTTCCGACGCGAACCGTTTGGGGCAGTGACGAGTCTTGTGCCCAAAGCAGAGAGTATCATCAAACTAACAGCTGTATGCAAGCTTTGTCATCAGGAGGCTTCTTTTACTCGCCGGACAACAGCCGATGTCGCGCTCGAGGCCATTGGAGGTGAAGAGATGTACATGCCCACCTGTCGAAAGTGTTTTCGGGCACCTTTGCCTTCACGGGAGACAGGAGGGGAGTGATGTCCGACGACTCTTAGATGCCGCAATGCGTAAAATCATTTCAATGACTCTCTCAAGTGTTGATCCACACGAAAAAAATATGCTAGATGTACAAAGTTTGTTGCATTCACAACTCCTTGAGATGTAAAATTGCAAATTCGCTGATAGTCCATCTGCATGCTTTGTTATTACCATCACAGCATACAAACTGTTTTCTGACCCTGTGAAAGATCCTGCCAGAAATGTGCGCGGATTTTGACCTGAAGGACATCGATATGTGCCCCCGAGGAGGGAGCGAGATCGCAAAGGGACTTTGAGATCGAGAAGCCTGGAGGCAAGGTCAGCGTTCAAACGGGCAACATTTAGCTTCACAGGTCAGCCCCTCGTTCGCCGCACGCAATGCACTGGTCTGGCACGATCTCCACGCCCGGGTGCTCTTGGTGCAACTTTGACAACTTCGTGATGGGCCCAGGCTTGAGTCGGAACAGGAACGAGTCGTTGGTGAGCCCAACAGATCTCCTCCTGACAGCCGGTTTAGGGCTGAAGCATCCGAAGACGTGGTCCTCAACTCGGACAATAACCAGCAGCGGCGCATTCAGGGTGAGACGAGGAGATTTGAGCAGCTCGCTCTCGAACCCGTCGCGCGATGCCAGGAATGTCGTCATGCCCACAGTCAAACGTTTGCATCCTGTCCACTCCAGCAAAGTGCTCAGCTGCTCTTCATTGAGCCCAAGACGTTGTGAGAAGCTAAAATGTCTGCTTGTCGCTCGTCTCTCCTCCAATGGCCCAGTAGGCCCATGCTCTGAGTCATTTATCGCGAGCCTGACGTGTTCTTCCCCTTCATCAGCGGGGGTAAAGTCGCCCGGAGACAACTTGATCTGCCCTTGTCTGTCGACAAACACGGCAAGCTCGGTTGCCTCGAACGAAGTGAGGCCCCTCAACCACTCGCTTCCCTCCACCTCTTCAGGGGCACTGAAAGTGGCTCCGAGCTGCAGCAAACATTTCGTCCGGTTTCGCAAGTCCAAGAAGAGGTCTGGACCTCTTCCAAAGATGAGACCAGAATCGTAGAACTTTCCGTCGATTAGTTGTAGAGTACAAGAATGAAGAATAGCAAATGCAGCATGGCGCTTCAAAGGACATTTCACAAACTGAGGAACCTGCGGATCTTGCGTCTGAAACGAGAAGAGGAAGGCATCAGCATCTGTCTTATAGCCTCCATACCGCGACCATGGGATTGAAGAGAACGCACCCATGTAACAAGAGCTTTCTTTTCCCTTGGTTCGGATTCTGCAACTCACAAGAAAGAATATTTTCTCGAGATTCTCGAGCGTGCTGTGTAGTATATTGATATTCCAGTTTTCTTTTGATGCCAGGTAAACCAGATTTTCATGAGAGAGAGTCTGTCGTATCCCCTCTTCTAAGCATTTCTTCTCCTCGGCATTCAAGCTCATAGATGGCGATAAATTCAATGTCTGTGAGAAATTATTTTGCCACGGGACGTGTTGTTCATGCACTGAGGAATAATTTTCGCTTTCAACGATGCTCGTCCTTCTTGAAAGTGCATAATCGACTTCTCTGATTCTTTCTCTAACAGAATTTCTTGCGAAGTGACACCTTACAGCCAACTGTATCACCATGACTGATCGCATGAATCTCATTCTGATGCGCTTGGGCCACCCGAAGTCTTGTGGGATGGGCATAAAGTGCGAGTGTTTCACGTAGTAAACTGTAAGTCTCTTGTACATGCGCAGAGTTGTCGGGTGTCCCACCATCTTGTGCGCAAGGAACGCGAGGGAAACAGGAAGTTCCATGGCCGACAAGCGACGAAACTTCACCAACAGAAACAATCGATGCAGGTGCCCTCGGAACACGCTCTGCAACAGCATGGCAGACGAGAATGCTTGGTGCGAATAGGGTGCATGAGTCCGATCACACTTGAAAACTCTCTCGGCAATTCGTAGTTTGTCTCCTCGCCACGCGAAGTCTTGCTGGAAGTTGAAGGCCAGCTTTGAGCTCAACCTCCTGACCTGACTTCGATCTACCTGATTCGCTGGGAATGCGGAGAAGGGACGACTCGGCGAGTCTCGTCTTGTCACCTGCCTTGGAATCGCCGTCATCGGTCGAGCGGGTCGCGGGGAGGTTGCTGTTGGAGATGAAAACGACGATGGCGCATCGTCTGCACAGATGGCGTTACCAAGAAAGAACAATCGTGGCTGATTCACCTTGCTTGTTTTTGCTCTGTACCTCCGCCAATGTCTTTTCTACATATCCCGGGTGCTTGCTTGTGGTGATATCAAGCATGTCGTGAAGGTAAAGAATCCCGTCGTCGGATGATCTCTTACTCCAGCCCGGAGGCAAGGATCCATCTCCAATCAGAATTTTGATGACATACATGGGGGCTGAAGTGACGAGGGAGTTGACGGCACAGAACGCTTGGAGGGTGAGGAGATACTTGGAGAAATACTTGTAGAGCGGCTCCCACGTTTCCCTTCCCTTCCGCATGTCTACCACATGCACTCGAATCTTTCTTTCGGGAAAGTTCGCTGGAAAACTCACCATGTCCTTTGTGCACCTTGCACAGACTCCCTCCCATTCAGCACAGGGGCAGCTTCCGAACCTCTGGTCGAAGTCGAGCACGAAGCCACCTGTCCTTGCGACAGCCTCATCCATGAACCCTTGCAGCGTCAGGTCGTATGTCGACGCCTCGAGCTGCGTGCGAACCCCGACGGGTTTACCTCTTGAGAGCAGCACGACTCCCTTCAAGGTCACAAACTCACTCGGCGCCTCGGAGCTTCTCCGCACGCGGATGGCACAAGCGGGGCCTTGAACAACGTGGAGCAGATCCTTGTCGTCCAGAAACTCTCGGAGGTGACGGACGCACTGGTCGTTGTCTTCCAGCCAGACCTGAGCCAAGTCATCGCAAGCACTTGGGATGAGAAGAAATAACCTTTAAGCTCTTCGCTCGATCTTCCACAACAAGACGACCTGAAGTTCATAAGATCAAAACTTTCATACCAACATCGAGTTGCAGACCATATCTCTCCAGTCCGCAAGAATTTCTAGTTTTTATTTTGCATCCATCGTATCTCATCCATTGTTGCGTAATGTTTGAACTGTTACTATTCCTCCTTGCAGTTGACAGGGCAGGCACAGTGCTGCTCTGTGGGCTTCTTACTTTAGATGACATCGAAGACCTTTTGATGTCTTTGTAGTTAGACGCTATCGCTGATTCAACCTGACCCTCGCTCCACATGACTTCATCGTCGGCTGAATGATCGTTATGATGGTATTCGAACGTGATTTTGATGTCCTTGACATTGCTTGTTATCTTTCCATTGCGCAACTCAGATGCCATGTCATAAAACTGCTCACTGAGCTCATTGTAAATACCATCCAAGCTTCTGGAAGTCGCTTGCAATGCACGAGACATATCTATGAACACTATGATGGAACCAAGTTGAAGTCTGTCGACTATGATCTAAATATCTTCAGTCAGCCAGTGTGTGGTACATGCCAGTATACGCTTACCTCTTCAGGTCTCAGGTCCAAACAGTTTGCAAGCTCATTCTGAAGCTTTGCAACGAAGTAATCTTTAATTGCCATGATTTCCTTGTAGTTCATGTCTAATTCGAGGATCAGCATGGGACGCACAGAAATTTCCTCGTTGACTGGTGCTTCTTCTTCTTCCTGACTGGTGGAACCGTTAGAAAGCGCCTCTAGTTGTTGGTCGCCTTGTTCAGAATCTTTGTCAAAAATTTCAAAGCGCTGAGCATTTATGGATGAACGCTGTTTCCATCGGTCGAATGGCGGCTTGCCGTCGAGCTCTCCTTCTCTCGATAAGTAGATATCTTTGTCTGACATGATGGCTTGTTGCTCGTGCTGCCCCCTATTATCGTGTTTTGCACTTGAAGGACGCGCAGGTCTGGTCGAGGGTGCTGCCAAGCTCTGTCTGCCTGCTTTGAAGTGCGATGGAGGCGTTAAACTTGAAGGGCTTGGAACTTTATCGGGAGAAGCTGCAGCATGCTGCAACTGCAACGCCTTGCGAGATGAAACAACTGACCTTGCCTTGTGCGCCAGGTATGCCAAGCCTATGACCGAAGACGCTGACAACATGACGGTGAAGTCACGTCGTAGCAAACATCGTTTGATCGATGCTGCTATCACCTCGGCTGCGGAGATTTCATTCCATACCAGCACGACGTCGAGCCAGTCGCTGAGCATGAGAGGAGCATGCTGACGCTTCTTACCATCACCCGGCAACTGCTTAAGGTCGAAGTGGACCTGCAGCTCCGTCAACTGGAACTTTTGTTGAGCACCTGCTCGGCCCCAGGCTGCCTCGCGATGGAGAACATTGCTAGAGGAGCTTGAAACTTGGAAGTCGATTTGAACAACCAAGTCCTCTGATATGTGAAGCTTCGGGAATGCAGAACGGGCATCTCTTCGATTGCAGCTATGCTTGTCGCCAAGCTGATCCTGGAGGATCGTTCCCACTGCATGGCCAGATTCTTCTCGCTCTAGTCTCCCGTGGTCCTGATAGTAAACGCGAGAGAGCTCTCGTTGATCTGCAAGAGCCTTTCCATCAGGTAGGTCCAGGTCAACGACGAAAGATGCGGAAAGACGGCGAAAACTTTTCATCTCCCTCAGTCAAGGCTGCTTCCGAACTTGCTCGACCATCTGTAATGCCGCGATTAGGACATCGTGGCACTTCGATCATCCAACACAAAAGCTTGTTCTGTGACGTGCATGTAGGAAATTCTATCCATCGCAAGCACTTCGCTCCTGTTGTTGCAAGCCATGCAGACGGTCTCGGAAGCCTACTAACGGGCGGGCACTCGTCGAGTCGGAGAAGTCGAGCTGACCTCGTGAGAGTATAATGAAAGAAACAAGGGCAGCAAGTACTTAATAGTCTTTCCTTCCAGTACACCACTGGTGCCTTGAAAGACCGATGTCCACCGATGACGGTCCGATAATCACACGGCGGCGGCGCGGCACTACGCCGGGCCACGGGCTTTTATTAGTTTTTACTCAAAGTTAAGTTAAAAATCAGTACAAGGACAATCAGGAGACCGTCTGTAGGGGAGTCGAGAGTTATTTAGGGGTGGGTCACCACCGACCCGGTCCCGGACCGAACGGTCCCGGCCGCTCAGTGATCGGACTCAGACGGCTTCGGTAACCTGCGGGCCCGGCCGGGCCGGCGAAGCCTTGAACGGTTGTCGGCGGATCATCGGATCTTTTGCGATCCCCGAGAAGCAGACTTATTTTTACTCACATTTGAGCTAATTAGATAATTTGTAGTTAAAATAAAGAGAAAGCTGTTAAAATAAAGAGAAAGCTGTTAATTTAGTTTAAAAGCAAGGAGGGCCTTATTAATAAAGAAGCGGCCCCTGCTTCCACCAGAGGCCGACAGAGGATGGTGAAGTCAAGCAGTTCTTCTTCAACCCTCTTCCCCAATACCCTCATCATTTCCTTCACCTCCTCCTCCTCATCTTTTCTCTCCTCCTCCTCCTTATCTTTTCTCTCCTCCTCCGCCAATCTTCTTCGCCTCCTGCTCCTGTGCCCACGTGCCCTTCTCCCATCTTCTTCACCCCTCGAAAGAGGGACGAAACTGATTACTTGTCTCCTTGACTTCTCGAGAACTGACCCCTTCAGCGATGCTGTTGTGTTGTTTCTTTCTTTTCATACGCGATTTCTCGTCGCATTTCCTTCTACAATTTCTTTGTTGTCTTGCTGGAACTGTACGACTTTCCAACCACTGCTGCATTCCTCTCTTTTGCTCGTCTCGTGACTATCTGTGACAGCGTACTCTCCTGCTTCTTGCTACTATTGCATGCTCGTCGGCATGGATGCCTGCTGCTCCTGTTGCGAACCTCGGGCTCAGGACACGTGCGACCCTTCCGCTCAGCAGCAAGAGGAACATGGCTCCTCGTGCCATGACCAGGGTCAACATGCTCGGAAACCTCTTCGGAGGTGGAGCAGGTGGAGGCCCAGCTGGAGGAAAGGTGGTCTCTAAGTGCTTCTTTGATATCGAGATCGGTGGCAAGCCTGCAGGTAGGATGTTGTCCATCTCGGAATTGACATGACTGAAGCTTGGGAACAGGGCAGATCAAGATCGGCTTGTACGACGAGGTGAACATGACGCTGCTCGTGTTGTTGTTGATGATGTTTGCCATCAGGATGTGCCCAAGACTGCTGAGAACTTCAAGAAGCTCTGCACGAAGGAGCTTGGTACCTCCTTGCACTGCCGTAGAGAAAGAAACTCAATGCTTTGATCAGGCTTCGGATATGAGGGCAGCGACTTCCATCGCGTGATCGCAGATTTTATGCTGCAAGGAGGTGATTTCACCCGCGGAGACGGCACAGGAGGCAAATCGATCTACGGAGAGAAGTGAGGTTTGTAGAAAAGCTTCTGTCTTGTAAGTCCATCGTCAGGTTCGCCGACGAGAACTTCAAGTTTAGGCACGCCAAACCCGGCCAGCTCTCCATGGCTAACGCGGGCCCCAACACCAACGGGTCTCAGTTCTTCATCACGACTGTTCCCTGCCCATGGCTTGACGGAAAGCACGTCATCTTCGGCGAGGTAGACCACACTGTCTGCCGCTCCCTGGTGATGCTCCACAGGTGCTCGACGAGCAGTCGATGAAGGTCGTCAAGTTGATCGAGTCTCAGCCAACTGTGAGTAATGCCGCTAGCTAACAATCTGTCTGACGTCACTCACAGGACATGCGCGATCGTCCCAAGGCTGGTGTCAAGATCGTCAAGGCGGGGGTCTTGTAAAAATGCAGTTGCGCGTAGCAAGTCATCAGGGATTTAGTCTTATGATTGAAGGAGACCAGTGTCCCTTTTTTGTCTCATGCATCTTTGAACGAGAGCGTTCCATCCTCACCAGCTCCTGTCACGAAGGAGGCGCCTTCCACCCGATCGCCCCATGCATACAGCTGGTTCAGCCGGTAACTGCCATCTCGCTCGGTCAGGCGTTGCAAGGAGTGAACAACAAAGTCCACCTGTTGAACCATCTTCTCGTCATCTGAACGCGCACCCACTGCAGAGCCGTCAGGGCCAGCAGAGGAGGGGAAGGAGATTTGTCTTGCCTGGACTCCAGTAGAGGGCAGAGCTGATCGGATCATCATCGAGCTCTCGTCTCGAAGCATGATCGTGTCGACCCTGTCCGTCCCGTAGGCCGCATAGACGTGCTGCATGTGGGTCACAAACGGCCGCGTTCTCCCGCTTGCCTTACTGTGACGTGCTCCTCCTCTTCCTTCACCTTCCCTTCCTCGCTTTCCTCCATGGAAACACCTCGATGGACGAGAAACCATTGACGCCCCTCTTCGCTTAACTGGCTCAACCTTGAGCGTACAGATCCTCCCCATCTTCGCACTTACCTGGACTGTGTAGCACCTAGCTGAGAAGTTTGAGCGCCAGTGCCTGCGTTGAGTCAGGACTGCAGGTAGCAAATCTCTACTTCCACGCACAGCTCGATTCGCTGCAGTGAAAATTTGGTCCCCAGGTTGACCTCGACGACCACGCTGTCGACCCTGCAGGACAGTAGCGTCAAGCACAAGATGATCAGGAGACAGAAAGGCAGGGAGGAGCAGGTCAAGAGAGGTCGAATACCCGGGACTTGACATCCAGAACGTGCTGCGGTTTGCCCCGCCGTCAAGAGCATTCCCAAAGTGATACGCTCCTCTCGCATCCGTCGGAGCTGAAGGCAGACTTCAGCAACACCAACCCAAAAATGAAGGAGAAGGAGAAGGAAGAGGATGAGCAGGAAGAGGAGCAGAAGCATCAAGAGTTGAGGAGGAGGATAAAGGGAGCGGAAGCAGCAGGATGAAAGGAGGAGCAGCAGGAGGATCAGCAGAAGCTGTAAATCACGAGACTTGGAAGATTCACCTGTTGATGTGACTTGATACTCGCAGTGTCGAGCTGCGTTCTGGACCTGCAGGAGACGCATCGCAACACTAAGAGGAGCACAACTATCTCCTCCTATCTCCTTGCAATGACTTGCCTCCTGCTTCTTTGCCATCAACTTCGCATTGTCCACATTCTTCTTCGTCCTCGGTGGCGCGAGCGCGCTCTGAAGTCAGGTGAGCAACAGCCAGGCGAAGCGGGAGGAGAGGGGAGGAGAGACGAAGAGAGGAGGAGAGGGGAGGAAAGAAGAAGCAAGGATAGGACAAGAGAGAAGGGAGGAGAAGAGGGAAGGGGAGGGGAGGAGGGGAAAGGAAAGGGGAGGGGAAGGGTAGAAGAAATGAAAGAAATGACACCAGAGGAAGGGAGAAAGATTAGAAAGGGTATGGAAGGAGGGAGGAACTGGGGGAGACCTGATCGAATTCGTAGACGATGTTGTAGGACAAGTAGTCTCGGATGGATTTGATACCACCAACGATGATGTTCTTAGGTGGATCCTGATAATGCAGAGCTGAGGGAAGGAAAAGTGAGAGTTTCAAGTCACTTTCAGCGGATTGTTGTGCAGTCGAAGATCATCGAGCCTTGTCAACATGCCGATAACGACCTGGCAATCAGCTCAGTGAGCAAGAGAGCAAAAGAGAAAGTGAGAGGTAAGTCAACAAGAGGAAGCAAGGGAGAGAGTCAGAAGTAGCAAGGAGGAGCGAATAGGTACAGGGATAGCAGAGATCTGATTGCCGAATAGCCACAAGCTCTGTGAACCAAGAGCAAAGGTAAGTAGGAGTCATTGTGATGATGAACAAGCATCTGTCCACCTCTCCCTCTTCCACTTCTCCTGCCCTCACCTCAAGGGAAATCAGTCCGGCCAACCACCAAGCAGTTCCGAGTTTCAGACGATTGTTGCCGCTGTGAACAGAATCAGCTTGTCCTCTTCTTCTGCTTTCCTCCTTCTCCCTTCATCTACTCCGATCTATCTGTGTTTCTGCGACGAACTACACATCTTCTCCCTCGCAATTTGCTCTTCCCGTCCCCCCTCTGGCCTCTCTCTACCCCCCCTCCCCCCCCGCCCCCTTGATGCGTACAGGGCAAGCTTCGTCATCCCTGTCAGCCTTCCGAGCTCTTCGGGAATGTTCTCAAGCCTGCAGTAGACAGCATCACAACGTTGAAGTCTCGGTCATCTTACTCTCCCCTCCCTTGCCTGCTGCTGCTGCTGCTGCTCTTTTTCATCCCATCCTCCTCCTCCTCCTCCTCCTCCTCCTCCTCCTCCTCCTCCTCCTCCTCATCATCATCATTCTCATCCTCATTCTAATCGCCGTATCCGTGAACTTCGTGATTGTATGAACGACCTGTTCCCATTGAGGGATAGCGAGATGATTCTGCTTTGCGCATCGGGTAAGCCAACCGAGCAAGACCGAGACAAGACTTGCCTTGAGCAGTTGCCAATTGACTTGTTCACTTCCAGGAGTTTGTTGTCATCTACCAGCACAGAATCATCGACATCAGGACAAGCAGAACCTACCGACACAAAGTTCTGTCAGGTTGGTGCAATGGAAGAGAGTGTCGGGGAGACGATCAATGCTGTTGCGTTCCTGCAAAGCTTGTGAGGACGAGCAACAAGGGATGAGCCTCAGCACCAGGTGGAGAGTTTCCAGCGCTGTCATGTTGTGTATTCTTGGATTGATCTGACGTCCTCGTCAACTAGGCTATAGGGGAAACAATCACGCACCGTAGTGATCTGATTGCCCGACAAATCCAGGTATCTGCCCATATGTCAGACTTCGATCTCACAGATCACACTACATGTATTACTTGATGTTGTAAGAGAACCGCGGGTCATCCACAAATTCAGTTGGAAACAACAGGAGTGACATGTTGGCCTGCACATAACATTAGTCATAGCGAGAAAGATCACTCGTCTTGTTCACCAATTCGCATATTCCTGTGTGCTCAGATGTTGCAATTCTCTTCCAATACTTTCTGAGAGTAGGAAACCTGAGGATGCTCAATCAGGGCCAGAAGCAAAAGAATCCAACGGGACTGAGATTAGATAGGCACAAGACAGAAAGAAGGGAATCTGAAGTCAATAGCGAGGATAAGAGCGATACGAACCCTTCGGTTTGAAAGTCGACAGGTGGATGCTTGAGGTTATTCCCGTTCTAAAACCAACTTCACCAACCCATCAAGTTTTTACCTGTCTTCTTACAATAGTGAAAGACTGAAGCATGTCTAGCGTGTGCATCTCAAAGGGGAGGATCGAGATCTGATTGTTGTCAAGAAACAGCTCTCTCAAGCATGTCTGCGCCATCTCCTCAACCACGAGGTGCACAGTGAACCATGTCAACACCTGCCATCGAGGAAAGCACTTGGCCGGCAGCTCTGAGATGACGTTGTTCTTGGCGGAGAGAGACTGCAGGACACCCTTGAAGGGCTGAACCAGCCCAGCAGCAGCTCACCTGAAGGTTGACCAGATTGCCGAGGAAGTGGACGGGGTAGCGGTCGATGGAAGGGGTGGGGAGCTCGTCGTACGGGCCCACCAGACGGAGAGGGTCCAGAGGCTCCTCCCAGTGAGGAGTGCGACCCTGCGAGGGTAGAAGAGACGAGGGTGAAAACCGGAGAAGAGGCGCTAGGAAAGCACGAGAGGACAGAAGCTGAGGAGGAGGAGGAGGAGGATGAAATGGAGGAAAGGTTCGAGGTAGGGGGGGAGGATGTACAGGTTCTTGTGGTGGTGGCAGAGCCAGAGGAGGTAACGGAGGGAAAGGAGACGAGAGAAAAGAGGGAGGAGGGATCGGGATCTTTATACCTTTGGAGTTCCAATATGGCGATAAGCAAGCTTTCCGCCGCCGACGATGACAGCCTGATGGTTGGATGGTCAGAAAGGATGAGATGGTGGCTGAAGGCCACATACAAGGCAAGCGAGAGCAAGGAAGAGAAGGAGGAGGAGGAGAGAGGATGGAAAGGGAAGAGGGGAGGGGGGAGGGAGGACGGGGGAGGAG